AACTACTGCAAAGCTATACATACCTGGTATTTCCGCGGCTTATAATGTGTGTGCTGTCGTTTGTTAACGACTGGAGCATGTATCGGATATGTCGCTTGTATAGTCTGCACTACGAAATAAGACTCCTAGCTCTAGGCAGCTCTTGGGTAATATTAATCTTTGGTACACGCACATTTTCCAATACTCTTGAATTAGCATTATGCTCTCTACTACTGGCGCTTGTTGCCGAATGCATGATCAAAACGAATACGATTGTGTATAAGAAAGAGGTTCTGGAAGAGCGTTATGAGAAGGCCAAATCTATAAGCGAACGCGTTAAAATGTGGCGGCTATCCAAAGCATTGCCAGCGCATAACTACACTCACACTTTACTCGTGTCCAGCATTTGCGTGGCTGGTGTTTTTAACAGGCCCACATTCCTGCTTTATGGTGCGCCAACGGTATTTTATTGGATGCTGCGTGGTATGGGTACGAAAACCATTACATTCCGTGACTTCAATCTGCGTATGCTGGTATTTTGTTTGAGCGCCTTACCGGCTCTTTCCTTTTTCATAGTTTGCGATTCATTTTATTACAAATATTTGACCGTTGGTGAGCTGCAAATGCTGCAGTTGGGTATAAATAACTTTGTGAGCACACCTTGGAATTTTATCAAGTACAATTTGGACTCAAAAAATACTGCAGAGCATGGGCTACATCCGAAATACTTGCATATTTTGGTCAACATCCCATTGCTGTACAATGTGCTTGGTGTTGTGACGCTTGTAACGTTTGCACACCTCTTAATTCGTTTCTTCCGGGCCGAATATCAAGGATTGCCGCGCGCACAGAGCATTATTAGTTTAATGTCCAGCGCTATATTTGTGCCACTCTTATTTTTATCGCTTATAAATCACCAAGAAGCACGTTTTCTGCTGCCGCTGCTTTTCCCTATCGTCTTACTACATGCGCCCAAGTTGTATCATGGACTATGTCCAACCTACCCATTCAAAAAGGAACATCCGTTGTTGCGCAAAATATATGATTCGGTGCTATCAACACGGGCTTCCGCCAAACCGCTGATGAAAACCTGGTACATGTGTAACATTGGGCTCGCCGTCTTCTTTGGATTTATCCATCAAGCAGGTGTATATCCACTAACCCAGCACTTTGAGGCCATCATGCAAACAAAATCACCCGCCCAGCATATACATCTCATCACCACGCACATCTACAATATACCACTGACCTTTATTAATGTTCCCAGTTCACAAGTGCTGCATACCAATCGAGAAACGGGGCAGCGCTATCGGCGGCATAAGGATTTCTACATATACGAATATGGTGGGCTTAAATGGCCTCAGTTAATGGGCAAAATTAAGTTGATACTTTCACATTGTGAAATGAAATATACAACAAAGCAACAGAAATATCGGCTTTTTTTAGCGTTGCCTGCCGCGCTTATTGACGACTTGACCACGGAATTGAAGGCGGAAAGTGCAAGTTCGTATATGCGCCACCACCTGGTTCGTATATTCTACCCACATTTGTCCACGGAAGCGTTGCCACGCTTGAATGTTTGGCATGATACTTCAAAAGATTCAGATTCAAAGTTAAACTACAGCTATCTGAGTGACAGATTATTATCATTCACGCGGGAGTTCGGTTTGGCGCTCTATGAGTTACAACCGCAACGGAAAAGTCAAACGGAAAAACTACAAACTAACAAGTAATTTTTAGCAAAAGAACAAAACTGACTTCAATTCTCATATAAATATATAAATATATATATATTTCACGATCCAATGATCGGATCTAAACCAGATTAGTATGGGACCACCTCTGAGACACTACAATTCCGATGCGAAAAAGAGTTATCGAAATCGGTTGACGTGGTCCAAAGTTATGCGGTAACATACATAAAAAACAAATTCGGTTAAAAAGATGTCACGGCGAAGCACATAAGTGCCGAATGATAAAACTGCGATTGAGTAAGCAATTCAATAATTCGCCATTATTATTTATATATTATCAACCCAAAGCTGCAAATATGTATGTATGAATGTATTGGGCTTTTTACTAACATTCCGCTTTTTTAAGTAAGTTGTTTTTCTTAAATAATAAAATATATTTTAATTAATCAACAAATTGGTAAGGGCATAAATGTGGCGGGAAGCTAATAGCGTTTATGTACATCATAATTTAAAATATAACTATTTTATTTTTTGTAAATATTATTTTTAATATTATGAACTATCGGCCGGATATACATACATATCTATACATATAATAAAATTGTAACAGGTCGATGTCTGTACATTAT